TTAAATCAATGCCGCATGAGTCTTGTCAAATTCCATTTCCGTTTTCTTTTACATTACTCCATCACTGGCAATTTGTCATAATGAAAAACACATTATCACTATGGCATATTAGCTCTCCCAGTACACTCTCTCTCACATACGGCATTTCTTTTCTCTCACCACTAAAATTTCCTTCTATTTAAAAGACATTATAAATATTAATATCGAAAGTCTTAAATTTATCTATGTTTTATTCAAATTTGATATGTGCCCTGGCACCTTAAGATTGCAAATCAATGCCGCATGGGACTTGTTAGTAGTTTTTATTTACATGACCCCACCGTTACAAAGTGCTTCTTCTTCACTGACAATTTGTCATTATTATTATCACTATGGTATGTAAGCTCTCGTAGTACTTACTCTCTCTCCCCCCCACTACGGTATTTCTTCTCTTTCTCTCTTCACTAGAATTACCTTCTGTTTTAAAGGGCACCATTAGAAAAATATTCGTCATTGGTTATTAAAAGAAAAGAAAAAAAAAAAACAAAACTAAGCAGACACTTGGGACATTTGGGGGGACAACAACAACCACAACATTGAATATATATTATTGTTCTTGTTATTATTATTTTTTGTAAACACAACCTTGTCAGCAAAGTGTCAATTTTTGTGTGTTGTGTGTTGTTGTTGTTGCATTTAGAGATTTGTTATTATTTTTTTGTTGGCTTTGTTTGTAAGGAGGCAAAAGTGCATGCATTAATTTGCAAAAGCACAGCAAACAGCGACAGCAGCCGTGTAGTAAACAAACACTCTCACTCTCTCTCAGAAATTATCTTCTCCCTTTGTCAAAATAAATGGTGTTGTTATTGGTGTTTTTTGGGGGGGGGTATCATCGTCATCATCACCACCACCATCATCCATGTGTATTAAAAACAAAAAAGTTCTTGATTTAAAAAATAATAACAACAACAAAATACACACTACTGGGGAATACTACGAATAAAACCGATGACAACCTTGAGTAATAGTGGTAGTAGTTGTGTAGTGGAAAATATTTTTTCTTTTTGCTTGCCACAATTTTGACATGAGGTTTTTATTTTATTTTAAATAAACCAATATATTTATTAAAATTCATTATTCAAGAATTTATATATTATTTAATTTTTATTGTTAAAAAACCACTTTGTTAAAAACCACAAAAAAATATAATTATGTATGTCAAGTTATTAATATTCCGTTCACACATCATGGGGGGAAAATAAACAAGAACCGAGCAAACAAAAAATACCAGGGGTAAATTTTCTTTTTAGAATGACTTTCTATTTCTTTGCTTTAAGGAGAATCGTATTTTTTATTTTATTTTTTTTCTCAATACAGCAGAGTATTTTTTCATTAAGCTTGGTTATAACACCCCACCACCACCCCCTTTTTTGACATTTGGTGGTTTGTTTGAAAGCCATAGCTAGCAAGCAAAGCGATGACGAATGTTTGATATGGCTTTGTGTTGTTGTTTGTGTTTTTTCTTTCACTTCTTGTTCTTCAGACAAAGTTATTTTTTTTTTTTCAACTAGACTTGATAATAATGACGTCACTTTTCGATATACCAAACAAGACACTCGGGATATTTAAAACAAATTCCTTTTTAATATTTTAATTATATTTTAATAAACATAATAATATTTTTACTACACTGTTTGCTTTAACATTCTATTTGTTTCTTTTCATTTATTTAATTCTTGTTGCTCTTCTTCTTCTTCTTTATTATCGTCATGTTAAAGCTGTGCTAACTTTTGCACACACAAAACTTCTTCTTTGTATTTTTTGCTTACATTTAAATCTCAATGGGTTAGAGCGAGAGAACACTAATAATACTCGACAAACGACACAACAACAACAAAATAAACCATGTATTTAGTACCGCTCACTCACACACACATATATATCCAGAAAAAACACTCAGGCGTACGCACGCACAAACACCAAAACAATCGTTGAACCGTTGTTTTTGTTGCTGTTGTTGGTTGGTTTTAAAACCGTCGCCGCGACGTACATTCACACCGCTCGATTATTACAGTACGACGACTACGACCCGTCCGTTAACTATGCTCAAAATAAACTGATTCGGTGTGGAGAAAATTGTTAACATACAACTCTCGGCCAGTGTGTTTTCAAGAGCGGGCATGTTTCATCCCCAACAATAACAGATGATGTTGGGCTGACTTTGGTACCATGAAATGTACAAAAGAAATATTTAAATGGTTATTTAAATATTTATAAAATCTAATAATAAATTAAATTAATATTATTTTTTAATTATATTTCATTAATTTTTTATTTAAATTAATTTATTATATCTAATTACAATTTAAATAAATTTGCAAATACCATCACTGTTATTCATTCTCTCTCTCTCTCTATTCACTGCATACCGGTTGTCGCTCTCTGACATTTCTTTGATGTTTTGCCTTTGCAACCTATTTAAAATGCGTTACTGTAGAACTGTCAAATGATCACAAATCCAATTACACCATTAAGTAAAACGTGTGGCAAAATGGTTAAAATCAATGATACAACAGATTGAAATGAAGAAAAAAACATAAATACATTTAAGAAGTAATAATTTTATTAATAAAATAAATATTTAATTGTTTAAATTATTTATATAATAAATAATTTTTCATATTATAAATATAATAAATTAAAAAAAAATATTGCATATAATTGTGGGGTTCAATTGTCAATTCCTTTGCATATATGTCAAATAAATCCTCATAAAGTAGGTTAACCCGGTGAAAAGTTCAAATGTATATGCCGTTTAAGCTACGTTTAGATTTACGAAATCCACTCGATCTCAAATGTCAATTCCATAGCGTATACGTCAAATATAATCCACTGGATTTTTGAACATGATTAAGGTGACGTATGCGGTATGGAAATGGCATTTGAAATCGAATGGATTTAGTAGTCTAAACATGCTTTAAAGCTATGGAAGGGACATTTTCGACTCCCAAGGAGATACTACATCGACTTTTGATTGTGCCGATTAGAGTAGGACAATCTAGTTCACGGAGCGGGTCGATCTTGTTGTTCATTTTTTAAAAATGAACTAGTTCCTTGAAATGGTTTATTTCTTCCATATTTTTCCGACTCCCAGATAGTTCATTTGAATCTTTCTCTTTCATCGTGCTTTTCGTTTTTCTCTTCGTTTTCGCTCACATAGTTCGTGTGGATTCGTTGATGGATGAAATAAATAAGGATTTTTTTTATTTTAATTAATTTTTATTTAGTGGAATATTCCGAAATTACGCATCTCAAAAGGAACGAGATCAGAAAAGGAAACAAGTCAAGAAAAAAAGATACGAGGTCAGAAAAAGGAACTGAAGAAGTGGAACTAGTTCCTATAGTTCCTTTATCGAAATTAGTTCTAATGAAGTAGTTCGTTCCGGAAATACTCAATTTTTGTGCCGATGGATGTGTTTTGATTTTAATTAATTTCTATTTAGTAGAATATTCCGAAACCACTGATCTCAAAAGGAGCGGTATGCTTTTCGTCGCCTACTGAAGATGACCCGCTGAGATCTTGAGAAGGCGATACCCCGTTGCAGTTCTCATGAATATTCTTCCACTGAATTATAAACGCAAACCTCACGCTAACCACTGTCCTATTGTTTTAAAATGTCTCCTTTTATGTACTCCAAGTGCTGCCTTTTAGCGATTTACTGCCCTTCTTTCTACTCCTCAGCTCATCAGCTTAAAAATGCCATCGATTACGTTTAAAACAATATATTTAGATAGTTGGTGTTCGGAATATGCCCTCCAGCGATCATTGGGTTCAATGCTTACAAGTTCTGTGGTTCTATGACCGCATTGACTCGAAGGACGTCTTCGATCAGAGTCTGCCAACTCAACAAATGGAAGTTCTAGAAAATCTTTTTGTAAAAGTCTGTGGACGAAGGAAAAATGATAAATAACATATACCCTTGCAGAACCTGCAAGAATTTTCTGTAAGTCGATTTTCTTGTCTATACAAATTTGACAAAAAAAAATTTACCACATATCGACCTATACAAGATCTATTAATGAGATCACCCAGTTAGCAAAAGTCAGCTGTTTTTTATCAAGTCGAATGTCAAAAATTTTGCCTTAATTTACGTGGGAGTAAATAATGGGAGTCGATTCAAAATAATGGATTTTGACAGCCAACTTGACAGATAGCTGATATCTTGCCTCCCTGGACGACCTTATCTATAGGCCTATTGATCACATGCAATGATATATTTTTATAACGCTCCAAGATCTATTAATAAGTTCACCCAGCAAGCGAAAGTCAACTGTTTTTTCACAAGTCTAATGTCAAAAAGTTGGATTTTGTTAATAGGAGTCAATTCAAAATAATTGATTTTGACAACCAACATGACAGGCAGCTGATTTCTGGCCTCCCTGGATGACCTTATTTATAGTCCTTAGACCTATTGATCACTTGCAATGATATGTTTTTATAACGCTACGAGATTTATTAATAGGTTCTGTCAGAATGCTAAAGTCAGCTGTTTTTTTTTTCTCAAGTCTAATGTCAAAAATTTGGATTTTGTTTTTATAATGGAAGTCAATTTACAATAATGGTATTCAGCTGTTCACCTTGGCCTTATTAATAGGCCTTGAACGCTACATACGAATAAATTTCTTCTGTCTCAGTATAATTTTTTTATTCTTATTTTTATTTATTTATTACAAACTTAATGAATAAAATAATTATTTTGTTCTCCAAAACCACTTTATTTTGTTCTCAATACCGATCTATAGATCCCTTCTTACAAAACAGCTGTTTGAAATACGTTTAAATAATTGTTTTACTTTTTAACTGAATTGCGATGTGCCTGTGTTGCTTTATCCACCACAATCAATACGGCGAGTTTGTTGTGTGGCCAGACCGCATAAGCTGTCACAATTGTGTGGGAATGCACGTGTTGACACAGAACGTTTGTTTACATTTTTGCGGACTAGTAATTCGGTTGATTTTCTTTATTAAATTGCTGCGGATTTTGAATTAAATTCTTAAAAAAATATGAAGTTTTCCTATAAGGTAAGAGGAGCAATTGGGGGAATAATGGAATTCCCTTAAAAATCCATGGAAAAACAGAAAACTTTCTTAGAGGGAAACAAAACGAAACATGCATAAGTTCCCTTGGTTGATCATGACAACAACAATAATATTTAAATTTATTTATTTTTTCAGTTTTCCAATTTACTTGGTACCATATATCGAAGAGGCAATGTGCTCTTTACGCCAGATGGAAATTCCATTATTACCCCGGTGGGTAATCGTTTGACCTTATACGATCTGAAGAAGTAAGTTGTGAGAGGAGATTTTGGGAGCGTACAAACTAACCACGTTTTTTCTTTCTATTCCCCCTTTTTCTAGCAACAAAGCCCGCACTTTATCCCTTTCGTCAAGCTACAATTATCGCACCTTGGCCTTGTCGCCCGATGGCAGCCTTCTGCTGGCCGTCAATGAAAATCATGAGGCCCAGTTGATAAGTATGGTCTCGTGTACCGTTATACATAGCCATAAATTCCAACATGATGTACGCTGTGTGGTCTTCAGCCCAAGTGGGGCACATTTTGCTGTGGCTATGCAAAATTTGGTATTCGTCTTTAAAGCCCCAGGAGAATTGACCGGAGAATATAATCCCTTTGTACTGGAAAGACATTTCTTGGGTGGCTTCGATGATATCACCTATTTAGATTGGTCTACAGATTCCAGATTTTTACTTGTTGGATGTCGTGATAATTCAACCAAAGTTATTTCCATTTATTTCATGAAGCATTTCCGTACCTTCGTTTTGGGTGGCCATACCGATTCCATTGTGGCCTGCTTCTTTGAAAATAATAGTTTGGATGCAAATACTTTGTCACGCAATGGCCAGCTGTGTTTGTGGGAATGTAGTAGAGATATGTCCTCCATAGAGCGAGTGGAGGATCATGAACGTCAACAATATTTATCGTATTTGACAAAGAAGCGATTGAAGGCAGCCAAGAAGGTGGCTGATGATTCCGACGAGGAAGAAGATGATGTGGAAAATACTTTGGAAAAACGTAATCCCACTGCTGAGGAATTACTGCAGGCTGGGAAAATTGTAGATGACAATGAAGTGGAAGATGAGGACATAAAGAGGGGGCATCCGTTTTATTACAAAAAACTTGGTCGTTATTATTTGGCCGATGAACCACGCAAAGAGAATCATGATGCTATGCTCACAGCAGCCCATTATAATCGTAAAACCAAAATTATGGTTGTTGGTTTTAGCACGGGCGCATTTTACCTGTATGAATTGCCTGAGGTTAATATGATCCACTCCTTGAGTATTTCGGATTATGCCATTTCGACGGCTTTGTTTAATAACACGGGTGATTGGGTGGCATTGGCTTCCCGAGAATTGGGTCAATTGTTGGTATGGGAATGGCAATCGGAGCAATACATTATGAAGCAGCAAGGTCATAGCAGTGAAATGACCTGTATCAGCTATTCCCCAGATGGCCAATACATTGCCACCGGAGGTGAAGATTCCAAGGTGAAGTTGTGGAACACACAAAGTGGTTTTTGTTTTGTCACCTTCAATGAACACACCAGTGGTGTGACGGATCTGCAATTCAGTCGTAGTAAGAAATTTTTGGTGAGCAGTTCTTTGGATGGCACCGTAAGGGCTTTTGATATTAATAGGCAAGTTCCGGGGAATGGAAGGGGTTTAAATTTGTGTTGCATTTGATAATAAAATTTCTTTTTCCCCAGGTACCGCAACTTCCGTACCTTTACCTCACCCCGTGTTGTGCAATTCTCCTCCGTGGCTGTAGACTATTCCGATGAATTAGTGGCCGCCGGTGGTCAAGATGTTTTTGAAATCTATTTATGGTCCATTAAATTGGGTACACTCTTGGAAGTAATTAGTGGCCATGAGGGTCCTGTGTGCTCCATTGCCTTTTCTCCGGTACCCACTTCCTCCACATTGGTGTCGGGCTCTTGGGATAAAACCATAAAGATTTGGAATTGTTTGGAAACGAAATCGGAACATGAAACCATTGATGTGCTGTCGGATGTTACCTCAGTGGCCTTTAGTCCCAATGGGGAGAATGTAAGCTTTCTAAATTTTGTTTATAATATTTTTGGGAATCTATAATTTTTTTTGTTTTTGTTCCAGGTCGCTGTCGCCACCTTGAATGGCAACATTTCCGTGTTTGATGTCAAAACTGCCACCCAAATTAGTACCATTGAGGGTATTAATGATTTGAATAGTGGACGCTTGGAGACGGATGTCATCACGGCCAAACAAAATCAAAAGGGAAAGTAAGTTGAAAGGAGGGAGAGCAGGTCAAGACTGATAAAAATCCGTCTCTAGATATAGTTCTGGGAGGGGACGACCTACACGGAACTGTAAACGCTATCCGCTATAGTCTAGAGGAGCAAAGTAAGGAAATCTTCGACCAGTTAGACCGGAAGAGAAATGTGGGGATGCGCTTCCGGAGGAACTACTACTGAATCTCACACTAACTGATGATAAGCTGAACACCACGGTGATCCCAACCAAGTCTACACAGGGGGATTGTTGTAGTATTAACGAAGGAAGCCAAGACCCTGTTGACTGACCGACTTCAAGTCTGACTACAATAGGTCCTGTGTCGGCACTTGTCGACAATAAACTCCAGAGCATCCTGCGAAGGAGGCGATATCCGACGATGGGGAATCTGTCGAGACCCCAGCGACGGACAGTGGCTCAAATGTTGGGAAGGCCCGAGAAGTTGTTGAAGCGAAACACAAACACTATTTCGTATCTCCACAAATTCGTGGGGCGAGACGCTAATTTGATTTCGGAGAGGGAGGTTTACCTCAAGATAAGATTCGTAAGGAAGTTCGAAAGAATCTATCCGCAAGCACTCCATCGTGAACTCGAGATGTTGGAATCGGCGAAGGCCACTGTCTCTGACAAAGGTGCTAAGCCGACTTCAGATCTGAAGCCCAGCTCGAAGCCTATCCCTAGTCAAAAGGCACAGGAAATGGCTACTGAGAACAACCGAAACAAAATGTCACCCATAGGAGTGATCAACGTGTGGATGGCTCTGTCTCAAAGCCTTATTCTACGCCTAGCGACAAAGGTGAAGCTAAAGCTTTGGGTGGATCCACCAGTGGTCGAAATAGGAAGAAGGTCGTCGAATAGGAAAGGAGTCCGGCAAGGAACCATCGTCTCCTGGGAGAGCAAATGCCGCCCCCACAAAGCAAATCTGTGAAGCGCATCCGCTTTTCAGAAGATCCGAAACCTTCACACAAGAAGACGATGACTTCGCGTCTGGCTGACCCATCTACCCCATATGCGGTTGTCTCTGGACAACAAACGGCGGAGAAACAGCCTAGTACAGAGAAGGCATCAACCTCCTCTAGAAGGGAAAGCTCCAAGGTTCGTAGCCAGAGACAGCGTAAGCCATATGACACAACGACCAAGACTTTCTTTATGGATTAGGATCAGTAGAAGCTAGTTTTTAAACCTCTCGGAAATATAAGGCCTTCAATATGCCATTTGGAACTTGTAGGCCCTCTATGGGTCTTCTATAAAATATCAGGCTAGTGTAGGAAATTTTGGAACATAATTCATAGAATACCTTTTCTTGGACCTCTTAAAATGTTTTGGTCTTTTTTGTTCCTTGAAGTATGAACATTATTCATTATTCGAAGAATGTGTTCTCTTTACAGGAGAACTTTTGAAGGACCTCCTGAAAATTCAGATCTTTTGAACGCTTTTTTATTGGTCTCCTCTTTTTAATCCTGATCCTATATTTAAAAATACCTACTTTTTCCCTTCTCATTTTCAGATACTTTTCCTCCATTGAATACTCTGTGGATGGTGAATGCATCTTGGCCGCTGGCAATTCCAATGTTATATGCATTTATCATGTCAGAGAGGCTATGCTCTTGAAGAAATTCGAAATAACACAAAATAAAAGTTTCGATGGTCTGAATGTGAGTAAAAACCCCCCTTCACTTACCAGAATTCCCAAATAATTCCCATTTTTTATTGCCCAGGAATTCATAAATCGCCGTAATATGACCGAATTTGGTAATATGGCTTTGGTGGAACAAAGAGAGGAGCTTGAAGGTGGTAATGTGGCCATACGTTTGCCTGGTGTACAAAAAGGCGATATGGCAGCGCGTAATTTCAAACCCGAAATGAAAGTATTTTCAGTGAAATTTGCACCGACAGGGCAGGCCTTTGCGGCGGCTTGTACGGAGGGATTGTGCATCTACAGTTTGGATAAGGGTGAGGAGGGGAATTTTGAAATACAATTTAATTATTTTTTTTTCATTTAATGAAAATCTGTTCTGGTTTTTTTCACAGGTGTCGTCTTCGATCCCCTGGACCTATCATTGGAGGTAACACCCAAGGCCATTAAGGAATCGTTGAAAGCAAATGATTTCTCAAAGGCCTTAATAATGGCGTTAAAATTGAACGAAATAAATGTTATTAATTTGGCACTAGAGAGTATACCCTATAATGATAGTAAGTGGATTTAATTTCCTTGTGGAATAAATAAAGAAATTAATAATTTTTTCTTCCTTTTTAGTACAACTAATTTGCTCCACCTTGCCAGATCATTTGGCACATCGTTTACTCCAGGTCATTTCCCGGCAATTGCAAACTTCACCACACATAGAATTCTATTTGAAATGGTCATGTAGTTTACTACTGACCCATGGTAATCGGGATGGTGTTTTTCAACATGCCTCACTGTTGGGGCTGCATGAATCGCTTTCACGTAAATATGAGACGCTGAATAGGATGTGAGTTCAGAGATGAAACTTTTTTTGAAATTAAATTGAATATAATATTTGTATTTTCTTTTTTAGTTGCGACTTCAATAAGTACACCATGCGCATCCTTTTGAATACGGCCAAGGAGCAATATACGAAAAATCCCCAATTAAAAGAAAAAACCTTGGAGGCGGGATCAGATCAAGAAATGAATGGCGATGACGAAGAGGATGATGACGGCTTGTTGCTTATCAAATCAAAATCGAATGATATGGAGGTATTTGATGAAGAGGATAGCAGTGAAGATGATGATGACGATGAAGAGGATGACGACTAAGATTTTTTTAATTTAGATAGGTTAGATTATTGTTAAGATTTATTTTTTAAATGAAATATATTTTTATTGAAAATAAATTGTTGTAATTTAAACAATGTTCATAATTTGAATTAATTTAAAATAAAAACCTTTTCAGGAGCCCCCCTTAAAAGGCTGAAGGCGTATTCTAAGCTACATTTATAGACTTATCGTGGATCTCTAGAGAAGCATCTAAAGGTATTCAAAAGTCCATGGGTTTAAAAAACTATAAAACCTCGAGGTATTATCAGATTGAAAGAAATTTTGTGTCTCTTCAAGATTCGGTTGGCTTCTTTGGCAATTCCATAGAGGAAGGAGATATTCTGTCTCCAAATTTCCCACAGAGGCTAGATTTTTTTAGAAGACCCATAGAAGAGTTTCCTGTGTCCAATAGAAGATATCTGTGGGAGTTTTAAAAACTGAATAACTTCTTAAAATTGTTTCCTGTTTAACTACCTATTAGACCTATTGAAGAATGTTCATATTTTAGAGGGCCAATAGAAGATCAGAATATTTTAGTAGGAAAAAGACCTACAGAGGAAGAACATTTTAGTAAAGAGATTCCGGTTCCCAAAGGAGGGGTAATAAAAGGTATTCTGCAAATGAAAGGTATACGGAGGAAGAGAGTACTCTGTACCGAAATGCTCTACCGAGGTTTGGCATTATATAGAAGATCTATAGGAGGTCTTCAAGTTCCAGTATTAAAAACGGATATTGTATAGATATTTTATACAAAGGACTCTTACAAGGTCACTTACATATAGAAGCTGTTATGGAGGTATCTAGTATGTAGAGAACCTATAGAATAGTCTCTATTTTCTATAGAAAGTTTTGGAGAAAGTATACCAAAATTAGAGAGGCCTATAGAATTGATACAAAGTCTAAGGAGGAAAAGGGTATTGTCTCATCTTTAGGTGATCTATAGAAAATAGTCTGAATGTAGAAGGCCCAAAGAAGCTCTCCAATCTCTAGTGTACGAATGGATTAATTATTCTTTCCACAGGCCCAGTGTTGCCGTCTCACTCCGAGGGAGGTTTACCTGGATGACCTCGGTTCCCTAAATCCTTTTGCTGTGTGTTTTATCTTCGCTAATTTTTATGGCATCCCCTCCCCAATCCTTCGCTTCCCAATCTTGTAAAAGACTACGCTAGGCACATAGTGCGCCTAGTCCTTGGTCTTCATCAGATTTGCCATTGAAAATCTGTCTAGGCCCACCACAAATGGAGTCATATTTTTCTTTTCCCCGTGGAAGACTTCTCACTTCTTCACCACCAGTGTTCTGTTTTGTAGACTTCGAACATGCGTTCTGTTGTTAACTCGCTGCTCTAAACTCAGACGAAGGCTGTTGCCTTTTGTAATTGATAAAGGTCCTATTCCTCACAAACTTAAGTTTTATTGTATCATTTAATGCAAAATTATTTGCCACTAGACCTGAGAAAAGTCTTCTATGCCCTTTGATGACTCAAACTCTAGCATTAGATAGTTCCGCTTGAAACTGCAGCAATCCAGATAAATGGGGTCGCCCCCATGCAGCACGTTCTCTATTATCTGATTGTTGACCGCATCCTTCACCTCCTTATGGGTCTCCTTAGAGAAGGCCTATGAAAGGTATACAAAGTCTACGGAAGAAAAATATATTATCTCTAAAACTCCTATAAAGGAGTTGGGTTTCTTTGAAGACCTATAGAAGGCCTTCAGACTTTATGAGACCTGCAGAAGGAGTCCTAACTCTCGAATAATTGAAAATGTCGTAAAAAATAATAATAAAGCCTTCAATAGAATGCCTTCAGTCCCTAGAAGAAGACCTAGGTAATGTCCTTCAATCTCTGGAGGACACATTAAGCGAGAAGGCCTCCAATATGTAGGGGAAGTTCACTTCCGAGGAAAATATTCTGTGTCTTGAATTTTTCGAAGTCCCATTTAATGCTTTTATGACCTATAAATTGGCTTCACGTTCCAAAAAGCATATAGAAGACCTTTTACCTTTTGGGTATTTAAAAAAATTGCTCTATAGAATAACCTCTATTTTCTATATAAAATCTATAAAATGTGTCCTATTTCAAGAGGACCAATAGAAGGGATACAAAGTCTACGGTGAAAAAAGGTATCTCGTCTCTAAAACTCCTATAGAATCTTGAGTTTTCTTGTAAGGCGCATAGAAGGTCGCAGTCGCTCTGTTTTCGCGATCAGTGCATAGCAGAACCCGTCTCTGGTGTACCTCCTAACAACCTTTACATAAGATGTCCGCTCCTTACCATTCGTTGCTACTATCTTCCTCTTTCCAAAATTACTAAACAGAAATTATCCATTTTGGAGTAACCGGAATTTGCGGAATATTGAATATTATTAGCCGGCATCGTCACCCTCAGTTAATGGATTTTGACAGTCTCCTTTTATTTGGGGTAGACCTATAAATAAGGTCGTCTAGCGAGACCAGCCACATTAATGCCTCTTAAGTTTGTGTCAAAATCCATTATTGTGAATTGACTTCCATTATGAAAACATTAAATTTTTGGCATTATACTTGAGGAAATACAGCTGACTTTCGTTAGCTGGGTGACCTTATTAATAGATCTTGGGATAGGCTATGGACACTTTAATGTAGAATGACTGAAGAACTTCTACAGATGTCCTAGATTTTTTGAAGTCATATAAAAAATAGATTTTAATGGACCTATCGAATTCAATACATCAAAAGAAGTCTTACATAGAAGTTCTCCAGTCTCTGGGAGATATATAGAAAGCAGACTACATGTAGAAGGTCCAAAGAATTTATTCAATCTCTAGTGGATCTTTGAAGTTCCTCTACCAACAGAAAATCTAGAAAAAAGTCTTCAAACTCTAGAGTACCACTGGGTATTCGAGCTCTGTTCCAAAGATCTATTAATAAGGTTATCCAGCTGTTTTTTCTCAAGTCACAAAAATTGATTTTAGAAGCAAACTTGAGAACCAGCTGTTATTCAGCTGGTCTCCCTGGATGAGGTTATTAATGTCTTCGCACCTCATTTGCTTTGTTTCGAATCTCCCCTGTCATCGAGGGTTTTTCGAAGGCATCCATGGCACAATAAATAGGTAGTCCATTTAGCGCAGCTGATGTCTCGATTATCTGTCAAAGTGGGTAATTTCTATTTGAATGCGATGTGCAGTATTGCCAACCATTTGAAATATTATATGGAAAAATTTGACAGATAATCGAGACAAAAACAAAGGTTGTTGTTGTGATACATCACCTTATTCAAGATCTATTAATAAGGTCACCAAGATAGCAATCGAAATCGGAAAACAGCTGTTTTTTCTCAAGTCTAATGTCAAAAATTTCGACTTTGTTTACGTTTTCATAATGGAAGTCAATTCACAATAATGCATTTTGACAGCAAACTTTAGAGGTATCGATAATCAGCTGGTCTCCCTTGGTGACCTTATTTATAGGCCATGACCTTATTATTGCATCATGAAGGCATCTGTCAAATGTTTTCTTATAATATTTCACATGGTTGGCAACATCGAATTCAAGTAGAAGTTACGCACTTTGACAGTTAAATAAGTCATCAGCTGCGGTAATTGGACTACCTTATTGTGCCATGGGCTATGCCTTCTTTTGCTATCAACCGAATGGAAGCTTTTTGCTTTTAGGCGGGTTTGGCGTTCGTCTGCGTTTTCGAAGACCTAATCCTCTTCGCCACTTTCGAGGAAGTGTAGGGACCGTCAGGTTTATCCTTCTGAGCATTGACTTGCTGTTCAGTTTTGCTCCTTTCTCCTTCCAAAATTACTAACCAGAAATAAGTCATTTTGTAGCAACCGGAATTCACGGATGATTCGGATGCAGCTCTAGACTTATTGATATTAGAACCGTCATCGTCATTCTCAGTCAGACTCCTTTGATTTCGGGTAAGCTATCTTTCTCTTGCTATCAGCAGACAGGGAAGCTCTTTGTCTTTTTTGCGTATTTGGCGTTCGTCTGTACTTTCGGAGACATTATCGTCGTCCCTATTCCGAATAAGTGACCGTCGGGTCTATCCTTCTAACCATTGGCTTTCTGTTCAGTGTTGTTCCTTCCTCTTTCCAAAATTAGTCATTTTGGAGTAACCGGAATTCACGGAAGTTTCGGATGCAGCGCTCCTCATATTTATGTTGGAGGCAGCCGATATCCAGTTGGAATCCATGGAAGTGTAGGTGCCGTCAGGTTTATCTTTCTAAGCATTGACTTGCTGTTCATTTTTGTTCCTTCGGTTCATTCTGGCTAGTATTCGCCTTTTAGCCCCAAATAACTGCTTCTTTCTGGTAGTGAGCATGCGTATGGTGTTCAATTTTGTTCCTGCAGTTCATTCTACCTATTCTTCGCATTTATGCTCCAGATAGCTGCTTATTTATTGTAGTGAGCTTGGCGATATCCTTGCTCACTTCCTCAACCATCTTATCAGTCTCTACGCTACTTCGGTTTACTAGGACGGTTGTATTTATTGTGTCTTCATGTTCAGACTCAGAATTTTTAGCCTAAAATTATTCATCCTTTAAAGCCTATCAATCTGACGGTAAAGTCCTTTAAGGAGTATTTATTTATTCATTTTTATATGCTAATCCAAAAAAATTCCCATTAAATCCTTCCCCAGGATTTCCAAAGAATTTTCCCTCCGCAAAAGAAAACAAGTTTAATAAAGCAAATATTTATACAAATTGAATTATTTAATTAAGAACATTAACAGGCATATCAGAAAAAAAAGAAACAACAAACAACCATCATTTTACGCACACAGACAGACAGATCAGTATATAATATAGCACCACAAAATAATCTAACCTTAAATATTTTCGAGGGCTGGATATGGCTATTAAGCCATAAAAATCCAACAAACACACGCAATGAAAAAAATCTATGGAACTTTAATCACGGCCTTTTGGAAACTGAGAATGAAAGAGAAAGTGAGCAGAGAAAAAAACAGAACTATAAAAAAGGATATGCCTTACAAACCCTAACCTAGACC